CACATTGGCGGTGAAAAAGGATTTGTTAAGCATGGTTTGTTGGAATTTCAGTCCAAAAGTACAAAAGACTATCACGAGGAGATGACAGCTGATGTTTTCGCAGAGTAGTTTGAGCAGATGATTGAACACATACCATCAAATTCAATTATAGTATTAGATAATGCACCTTATCATTCACGACTAGTAGAAAGATTTCCAACGACTACATGGAAGAAACAGGATATTCTTGACTGGCTGCGGAATAATATCTGCCTTACTAAGATGGAATGGTAAAAGCAGAACTTTTAAAAATTGCCCGGCAACACTAATCTAAGTTCAAGAAATACGTAGTTGATAAAATGGTCGAAAGGCGAAACATCACATCCTTACACTTCCACCCTACCACTGCGAAATAAATCCAATTGAACTCATTTGGGTACAAATGAAAAATACGTCATATAAAATACAAGCTGTACGTGAATTGTTATACTAGTCTTTACAATATATTACAGAACAAAACTAGAAAGATGCAGTAAGACATGTAAAAGAAGAAGAAAAAAAAATGTGAGATATTGATAACATAATTAATGCGACCGTAGTGACACAACCGCTAATTATTAATCCTCAAGACGACTCTGATTCCGAAGTTGATCCTATTTATTTTGAATTTAAATAGTTTTCTAATCGTAATTATATAAGGTAAGTAATAGTAGTTGTAATTGTAAGGTGTTAAAGGGGAAAGGCGCAAAATGTCGCCTGTCAAAATGTTCAATGTGTTTTAAATGTATCCATTTTTTTTTCTGAGAAAATCCTGAGAAGACTAAAAAGCATTTTTGAAAAATTTAAAGGCAGAATGAAATATTTATTAGAATAAATAAAAAGTTTCTTTTGCATGAAATATTTTCAAATAAAAATTATACTATATCTTCTCTTTTATTTTCACCCCTGTTACACAACGTATTAAAATAAGCATTGTAGTAGTTTTCAGGGATTTTCTGCCCTCAGTAATAATGTAATCTTTGTGTCACTTTGTGCCTTTTCCCTTAATTAAATAAATGTTTTTTTTTCAAATGGCAAGAAACGTTTTATTTTTGAATAAAAAAAAGAAGTTTTATTAAAACAAAAATATAATTTACATAAGTACAATTTAAAAAATATATTTGTTTAGTTCAAATAAAGGTTTCAATCATATGCTCTACGTCACTGGTCGGTCATCTGTAACCAAAATACCTTCGTAATCGGATTATAAGGTTGAGTGCTGTATTGTATTCCTTCAGATACATAGGTGGGTTCGTCGAAACATCTTAAACCGTCAGTTTCAGATTGTTTTACTATTATATTGTATTACCTATCCTCTCTGTATTTCAGTTCTTTAATTAGGGTTTAACTTGTAGTGAGCTATCGATAAATTGTGAACCGATTATAGGGAGATGCTTCCCGATATCTCTTTGCCACCGAAACCAGTGTTGACTAGATGGGGGACGTGGTTGAATAGTGCCATATTTCTTGCAAATAATTATATTGATATCAAAAATGTTATATCAAATTTTGATCCTTCTTGTTGTATTTCTGTTCAGAAATGTCAAAATATTTTTAGTGAGATTTTTGTTTAGAATGAACTGACCTATATAAAAGCAAATTTTGACATAATTGTAAACTCTATTATAAAACTAGAGAGTTAAAAATTACCTTTAAATGATAGTATTTGCATTGTTGATTGAAGAAAGAATAATAAACCTTTTAGGGACAATTGGAAAAAAATTAAAGATAAATTTAGTAAAGTTTTAAACCCAAATGAAGGCTTTCCTTTATTGCAATCAATAAATAACATAATCAATGGAAGCTTTAATGAAGTCATTAATATGGATCCCTTGCTAGTGTCAAATTTTAGATTTGCTCCAATTACATCCTGTAATGTTGAAAGATCGTTTTCCTCATATAAACACATATTAACTGATAGAAGGCATAATATCACTCTTGAAAATATTGAACATTTTATGATTATATAACAGCAAGAACAAGGACGTTATCTTGTGAATTTTCATTTATATTTTTTTATTAAATGTAATAAGAAATAAACACTCTCTAAGTTATACTATAATTTTATTTGTCACCAAATCTCAAGCCCTAAAAATTTAAAAATATTTTTTTTAAGTACATATATAAATGCATATTGCATATTACAATAAAGGCATATTTGGTTACTTTTTAAGTACATGCAAGTTGCATGCATATTTTAATCATTTCTTAGAGCATATTATAATCCAGTCTCTAATTAATAGCGACCCAATAAGACTTTTTTACGTTGTTCTGATTAAGTATTTATGTATAAGGGTTTTCTGCACATAAATAATATTCAGCGTGATATTAAGTCAAAAATAAAGTAAAAATATATCTGAGTAGTATATACCAGCTTAATACAATGTATGAAAATGTAATCATAACTGATTACAATAAAAGTCGCAATAGTTTGATAAGAATCTGAATCATTCCATACTTGAATGCAATTTTTTTTATACAGTTTTTTTAATAAAAATATGATAACCCTTTCAACATACATAAATTATAACAACGTTGCTACTTAAATATGTAATCAATGCATAACATTTGATTCTTACGTCAAATAAGAAAATACTTGCAAAATATATTAAAAAAATTGTTTATTGACTAGAAACTGTATACCCTACATATCTATAGCTAGTTATAAGATATTTGGTCGAGTCTAAATCCGATGTCTTAAAAAACGTGGAGTGACGTGAATAGGTTTACTGTTGGCGAAAAGAAATAGAAAATACAAGCAGGAAATAACAGTACCGTATTCGCAGAAAGACAAGAAAATAAACCGAGTAAAAGCGCCTCAAAATGAGGAAAAAGTGGAGGCAATACGAAAGAAATTTATAGAATGGAAAAATAGAAAATGGATAATCCGAGACACATTGCAATAAGTAGAAGAAAGGAAGAAAATCAAAGAAGAAATCCGAAAGGAATCTACGTTCCTGTAGTTGGCTGTATACCATATATTAAAAAACTTTATTAAAAATCCTTTGTAAAAGGTATATATTAAGAACCCAAACGGGCTAAGTTAAACATACAAAACGTTTTCGGAATCCATATTCCATCATCAGTGTCTAAGAGTACATGAATGTAGCCACTAAATATATGGGTAAAGACCCGTTAACAATTAATTAATTACATTTAATTTACAAATTTTCCTATAATGGTTTAAGATGTTAAAATTACCGTTAAAGTTACCGATTAGGTAACATGGCGACATATGACTCCACGTTGAAAATGCTAGTCTTGAGACAGTGTGTCTGCGAAGACTGTATGGGAGCAACTCCCATACAGTCTTCGTAGGCACACAAATAAGTTCAAACTAAACTACAAAATGTATCAGTAAATGTAATGTTTCGTTTAGAAGTTTCTAATTTTTGTTTCTATTTTTTTTTAATTTCAATAATAAGAGAAAAAAATATTTGAACATGCTAGGCAAAATCTGCCATGTACTAAAATCTCCCAAGTAAAATCTGCTATGTATTTTTTTTTTTTTTCACAAAAACAAAAATAACTCTCAGTGATTATTTCAGACTTGGTAAAATACGTTTTTACATTAACCATACGATTATTTTACATATATCTTCCATAAAAATAACTGCCTTACACAACGTACCATTTTGAAACAAAACAGTTTTTTGTCTCCCCTGTAAAATTTAGTTTTCTACACATAGCAGATTTTGCTCAGTCAACGACGATACAACTTATTCGTAGATTTTGCCTTGATTACTGTGGAATGTTAACTGGAGACTCTTGAGGAGTTATACTGCCAAATAAAAAAATAAAAAATACAAAATATGCTTTCCACCATTAAGAAAATAAATGCAGAAGATCGGCAAATTAACTAATACTTCGCTTTCTTAACTATAACCTAATTGTAAAAGATGATGCTACCAGCCTTTTCTTATATTTGATGGGTTGACCACAGGGCTGACGTTGGTACCTTCTGTAGAATTTAAAATATTATAATAATAGGTAATGGTGACATGGAGATGCGCTGGTGTGCCTCCTTTTCAACATAGCTCTGGAAAAGGCGGTCAGGAATGCCCAAGTAGACAACAGAGGCAACATTTTTAATAAATGGTTTCAAATTTTGGCATATGCAAATAATGTTGACAGTATGTTTAAAATATGGGCATGCAAGTAAATGAGGAGAAAACTAAGATAATGGCATCAACACCCAACAATAGAGTTGGAAGTGTTGGCCATCACTTCACGGTTGATAACTCTACCTTTAACGTGGTGGACAAATTTACATACTTAGGCTCCCAGATCACCAAGGAGAATGTTATGATGGAATAAATCAAGCGAAGAATAATCCTAGTAAACAAATGATGATTGAGTAGACATATGAGAAGCAGAAACTTAAGCCCAAAAACAAAAATAACAATATACAAAACCCTTATACAACCAGTGTTGACATATGCATCGGAGACGTGGATCATTTTTAATGCAGATGCAAACCTCGTGCTTATATTTGAACAAAGGTTTGTGAGAAGAATATTCGGTGGCATCTGTGAAAATGGTGTTTAGAGAAGGATGTACAACTACGAGATATATCACAGATATAAACATATATTTGGTTGTAAAGACGTAGTATCTCTTATAAAAATAGAAAGACTAAGATGAGCGAGACATCTGGCAAGATCAAAGCAGAACAACCCTCCTAAACGAATCCCTATGTCACAACCTGTGGAAAGTCGAAGTAAGGGTAGGCCAAAACTCAGATGGAGAGATGATGTAGATGAGAATGGTAGACAAATAGACGCAGCAAACTGGCAACAACTGCCAATGGATAAAACTGACTGGCATAATAGACTTGGGAAAGTCAAGGCTGTTTTATAGGGCTGTAGTACAAATGATGATGATGATAATAAAAGGTAATAATTATAATTTATTGACGTGGTATAATAATGTATTACCTTCAAATACTATGACTCCACCATTTTAAAATTGTTCAAATAATTTTACTTACTTAGCTCAACTTGGATTTCTTGAAATGATTTGTCCTTTGTGTTCGGCAATAAGAACAAAAACACGAAAAAGTTAAATAGACCTGTTACGAAATATAGAAACATCGCAGAATGTTCACCAAAATTCTGAGATAAAATTGGATAAGTAAATCGTACTATAAAAACACAAACACTTTCTCCTACCATACCTGTTGCAAAACCAAGAGATCGTAAATTACTGGTAAAAAGTTCGTTACATAGAGATATCGGGACAAATCCGTATCCTATTCCGTAACCCATTAAAAATAATACAGCTAATAAAATAGGTAACCAACCTAAATTCTCAGTAGAAGAAGATTGTATGTTTATCAAATAAAAAATAATACTATTACAAAACATGCAAAGACTGCAGAACAAGGTAGAAAACAACATTAAATTTTTAGCTCCAAACTTATTGTATAAAAAACCTGCAACAAAATAAAACATCAGTTGTGTGCTACCCATTATAATACCTATTGTATCCGCAGATAAGGTAGCTTTTGCATAATTAAATATTAGACCAGAGAATGTCAGTAATGCGGTAATACCAGAAGTCTGTTGGCCAATACAAAGTAGTAAAGATAAATACAATGCTTTTCTAGATGCTTTAGTTTCAAAGAGATCTATTAAACTTGGTTCATGTTTTGTATTTTGAATATCTTCTGCAGATTGTTTCATCTGAGCATACTCTAACATAACCTCATCATCTGTTTTGAAAGATCTTAGCAGTTTCAGTGTACTAAGTGCTTCAGCGTCTTTTCCTTTTAAAGCTAAATAAACTGGAGATTCAACTATAATAAAAGGTTCTAGAATCAAATGAATTATTGCTGGTATAGATATTAGTAGAGTATAAACTTTGACAGAAGTATAAGCACCTATAATATATGTTAGAAACATTCCAATTGGTATTGGTGTACCTAAAACAGATCCTATTTTGGTTCTATTCGAAATATCTGAAATTTCAATATTGTATGCGGAAACACTAACGAATATCCCACTTAGATTAGCTCCTACAACTACTAAAGATATAATATAAATGCATATAGATTTCGCAAATGCCAGTACGACTAGCATACCAACTAGACACAAAGCTGAGTACCGCATAGTCCTTTTACGTCCTATCCAATTTGATATCTTAGCCATCATAATAAAACCGACTCCAGTGCCGATGAAGGGACACGCTGCTATTATTGATACGTCCATGGTACTTATCGGTTTTCCAAATGGGTTAATATTTATGTCGTTTGATAGAAGTTTAGGCAATACTGGTGCTGCCCATGCTAAAGCGCTTCCCAATGTGATTAGTAGAAGATTTGCTAAAAAAATTAATATATAAAAATCTTAAAGGATGCAGTGTCGTGATTAGTTAAATGCTTTTTCCTGATTGTCAGGAATTATTAAAAAAGTGAGGACATCTGTGGGTACTAAGAACTGCTGGACATATCAAAGTAAAATATATGTATCGCAAAATGGGTAAAGGAAATTTATTCTATAGGAAAACGACCTTGCTTTATTATAATTTTAATTTATTTTTATATGTTGGTTTGCAATTAGTTAATATTATTATTAGTTATATTAATATATCTCTGGGATAGATTTTGGCATATTGGTACTGACTTTATTTTCATTTTTCTTTGAACATTTTATTTTTATTTCTTTTTAATTATTGCTTTGATTATCTGAATTTACGCAAATTAAATTTATTGATTGTTAGATTATTTTCTTTACGCTTAAATTAAAATTTAACTGCTCATCTTGAATTATTTAGTAAAAACTCATTGGTTTATGACATGTTTTAAATTAAAGAGTAATATTTATTTACTTTTTTTACAGTATTAATACATCACCATGAAAATTACTGTTTATGTAAATAATAATCATCTACAATTTTTGCTTAAATTGTTTACATAATCGTTTGTACCAATTAAGTATGGATCTAATCTAAGCATAACATGAGTAGTTTAAAGTGTGCTCATATATGCTCTAGATCAGGGGTGCTCATACTTGAACTGCTGGCGATCTACCTCAATATTTTTAGACTACTTACGATCGACTCTGAGAGACTGCAAGTGTGTATGATGCAGGGTTGTCGTACATAAACGATACATCCCACCTACCTAATAGGTAGGGCGTACCGTAGCATATAGATATTAGCTTTCTGCACAATATAGGTACATTATTTTAGTCAAGGTTTGGGTTAGGTTTAGATAGGTTCTTCTCTACAATATTAATGAAAAAACTCAGTTAGTTATTCAAAATTGCGAGTTTATTTGTTGTTACAAAACAAAAGAGTTACATATGGTGTTAAACTTAACTAAGGAGTGGCTTTGGATGTTGAAGCGTGGCACTGCATGTCCTCAGCATACTTTTCATAAGATGGTACGTAACCACTGAGTGCTAATCGCAAGCATGATGTCATATGATCGTCAGTTAGTCGATTGCGATATTTTGACTTAATTATCTTCATTTCAGAAAATGCAGACTCGCACAAGTAAATTGACCCAAAAAATGCCGTCAGTTGAAGGGCGATTGGCCTTACATACGGATATTTATCTTCAGATATAAAACGCCAGAAATTTGTATCAGATACTGTAGATTTGAGATGTATATCTGATATAATCTGCACCAACTCATTTTCAACAGAACATGAGTTCATATTATACTGACTTGCTATTTCAGTAGCTAACTCCTCAATGTTTTTACATGAAAAAGGATAAGTCATAAATGATGCTATATTTTCCAATTTACTGCAATCATAAAAACGCATTTCGAATTGTCCCAAAATATTTGATAATTCAGCCTCATACGTATCATAATTCAACTGAGGAATCCTTGCTTTCAAAGACGGAAAATGTTTTAGATCCTTTCTTTTCAGTTGATTTATCATAAGTTGCAATTGACTTTTGAATGCGTTTACTGCGCTAATCATCTCAACAATAGTTTTTCCATTACCTTGAAGCTCCAAGTTAACGGTGTTAAAGTGCATTGTGATGTCAGTCAAAAATGCCAAATCATTTAGCCATTTTTCGTTTTTCAAAATCTGAGTGTCATCACCTCTTTCGACTAGAAAAGCTGTAATTTCGGGCAATAATTCTTGAAACCTTTCTAGGAATTTTCCGCGACTCAACCACCTGACGTCCGTGTGAAGAACTAAATCGGTGTGTTCAGCTGACTCCCTATCTTCTAACTGCAACTGAAAGAGCCACCGTTGCAAGCTACGTGCACGGATGGAATTTACAATTTTTGTTGCAATGCCCATAATTTCCTCCGCCCATAATTTCCTGCAGTGTATAAAACTTTTGAACACAAAACTTGTTGATGTATATTGCAATTGAATGAAAAAAATGAAGGGAATTCTTCATTAGCTCGACACAATGTCACAAAACCGTTTTTGTTTCCAGTCATTGCTGGTGCTCCATCGGTTGTAATGCACATCTTCGCCACGGGTCTTCCTCTTCAGAGGAATGATTGTCAAAAATTCTTCCTTAGCCAACACGTCATTGAATACCATCCGAATAAAAATACACATCTGGGCAGTGTCTGTCATATCGATGGATTCGTCGAATTGTAAAGAAAAGTATGTACATTCCATGATATCATGTTTTAGTTTATCTGCGATATCTTGACTCATCACTTCAATACGCCTTGTGACAGTCGAATGAGATAACTGAAGTTCTCTAATAGCAGACATGATTTCTGTTTTATTTTTAAAATCTCCAAATAAAGTCTCACCCGCTTCAATAAATGCTTCCTTCACCACCGATCCATCTTCAAACGGTTTCTTGTGTTTCGCCAAAATATGAGATATTTTAAATGACGCGATCGTAGCAGCTTTTGATTGTTTGGCTGGTCTTGTGAACATGGATTGTTCTTTTTTCAAACAAGATATCAAATCACTTACTTTTCGTTTTCTTAATTCACTCTGTGGCGGAAAATCCTTTTCATAATTTTTATGAACCGTTTTATGATCCCTCTCTACAGGCCACGGCTAAATTACCACGCTTAGGTATTGCAACTGGCGCACGACAAATAACACAAATGCACTTATCCTTCACCATAGATGAGAAAAATTCTTCCTCCCAATTCTTATTAAAATGATACGTTTTAGATTTCTTCACTGCACCCATTTTCCACTATTTAATAATAAACTTTGTATCGACGTAGGATAGCTATCAAGTTACAATTCAGAATAACTCCAATTCCTGCAGACGCAACATTTATATCGGCGTGATGAACGAAAGTCTCGAATCTTCTCGTCAAACGCGCCGCCCGAAACTAGACTGTACTGTCTCTCGTCTAGAAACAACACGGCTTTTCTTTGACAAGTGCCGCGCGTTCCTTTGATAAAGCTACCTTTTGCCACAAGCAGTGTTATTTTATTACGTAATACATTTTTGTAGTTGATAGAATATCATCCCAAATTTGATTAATTATTATAATAAATATTGAATTAATAAAATAATTAGTTAATATATGTATATATAAAATACGCTGTGTGAATAGTATTTTGTTGTCCCCACTTCTTTGAATTGCATGCAATGATGCTTAGTCAAGCATTCTATGTATTTGTATAGTTTAGTATTAATAAAAACGTTTAACTCTGCTGACAGTAGTTTAGTTACCTACCTACTTATTAATTTTTTTTTCTTCTCCAGATCTACCTAAAAAACACTCGCGATCAACCAGTCGATCTATTGAGCACCCCTGATCTAGACTAAACGAAATGACTGAGCAAAACAACAACTGTACAAATAAGTCAATTTGCATAAATTTTTTATTTACCTACCTGAAAGTACAGTTTATGATAATTCCTATATAAATAGTACACATAGATAAACATACTTGTTTTTACAAAATAGGAGCTATCTAAACAATGCGTCCAAAATTATTAGAATAGCAATATATACTTTGTGGAATTTTACTAAGTACCTGCTTATTTAAACAGATTCAAAATTACGCCTGCCGAAAAACATAAAACGCTACATATATCTTAATTGGCAAAGTGAGTTCAAGGACTTAAATTTGTTTATAGTATTTATACCACAACATTTATGACATTTATGATATATTATTATAGGGAAGCTTCTATACTGTCCTTGTATTAATTCTTTTCCTATTTATTCTATTTTCCTATTTTTTTCCTATTCCATCATATCGTCGTTGTGCGGGTAAAATCTGCTATGTAGGTTATTTACTATCTTAAATCGTAATTCAAATAATTTAGTAAAAATGTGCAATGCCTACCTGTAAAGCAACATATATAAACATAATAAACTGAGCGAATTTTCCCATTATCTACAAAATTCGTATGCAATTTGTGATACACCCAACTTCTTAAGTTGTCACCCATTTTTAAACCTGTTTTTAATTTTTTTTGTGCTACGCAATTTTGACCAAGAATATTTATAAACGTTTATTTTACATGCATGCATATTAATAATTTAGTTATTATTGTTTATTTTGTACACAGACATTTTTATCAGAATATTTTATCGTAAAAAATTTTTAATTAGCATAATAATTAAGCTTTATAGTTTTAATGATAATTAGTTTAATAAAGCACGTGGAAATAATAGCAAGAAGTTCATTTATATCGGTAAGTAAGGGTATTACAAACTTAGACAAACGTATCATTAGAAATAAAGAATAGACTAACCATCTTTACTTTTATTTTTCTTCTTTTACTGACTTCGTATAAGCAATTTTGCTTGTTCACTGGCCGGTTGTTGCATCTATTGAAGATTCTCACTCCATCTCTGCACAGTCAGTTGATACATCGTCTATATACCTACCCGTTTACACAATTGGTGAATTGTCCCTTGTTATTTTAGCAACTCTTGTATCCACCGTCTTACTGATATCATTATTCTGTTCTTTTTTCCTGTTGATTGTTACTCGTTTATATACTGCACATTTTAAATTGTTTTGATTTCGTCAATTTTTAATAGATTTCTCAGCAAATTACAGGATATAAATTAGTAGCCTCACTTAATCACCCACAATATGTGATTGCCACCCACGGTTGAACATAAAAAATGTTAGCACCATATATTCTTACTTAACTTAAGAACTCTTCATTATCTATGTTATGTTTATGGGCAATCGTTTGCTGATAAATTACAAGCTTCCGATGAAAGGAATCGAATTTGTTTGTAATAAATGACATTGATAATTTGTTGTTCAGGGCTACCCAGAGGCATATGGAGAAACGATCGCAGTAACAGTCCACTCCACTAATTATTTTCCTCAACAGTATCCTTCTTGCACAAATCAGATCAGTACTGAACAACCATCTTTTACTACTTCTACAGAACTTTTTGGCGTAGTTGCAGCACCTCCAACTCATCCGTAGGTTCTGTCGTACAAGCTCCTCTTGCACAATCAAACTCCCAAATTTCACTACTAACTTATAAATCTTATTCATCTTAAGATCACTGTTATGTCCTATCTCTTTCACGACCATCTTTTACATTTTCATCACACTGCTGCAGTTTGAGTATCCGATCGAAGCAAACTCAGCTACAGCTCCACATAGGAATAAATTCAGTTAAGAAACACTTATAATTATTGATAATAGCAATAACAATAATTATAAAAAAATGCAGATACCTACTTTTATTTGATTCTTCAGAATTTGGCATAATGCCCTGCACACTTCAAAAACGTAGGTGCATACTGTCTGTGGTAAATATTTGAATAGATAAGTAAACATTTTAAACTATTATATATTATATAAAACATATAAACCAGGCTCAAGAAATCTAAGAGCTACACAAAATCTTTCTTTAACTAGAATTGTCTTTCTCATATTGGTATCACGCTTCGTTATTAGAGAGACTATTTTATTGAGCAGGCACTCAAAGTCAACACCAGACATTCTACAAAAACTTTTCGAATTTTCCTAAAGGATCTCGAATACATCGCGGATTTGGTCAGCATCGTGAAGGGCCGTAAGCAATACTTAAGTCATATATTGAGAAATTAAGGCTCATATAAACTACCCCAGTGCATTTTGCAAAGTTAAATTGAAGGAAAAAGGGTCCCAGGACGAAAAGCTATTCCGTAACAACGTCATCATAGCGAAAATGATCGCCAACTTTCAAAACGGACAAGCACCATAAGTAGTGGCGCCCCTAGGGGTGAGGTTTGGTGGTTAACCTGGTAGTTCCCGCAGGAGCCTATTAGGACACGTTACTCACAAATTTTAAGGACTTAAAATGCAGCAAGAAACAGCGTTTTATAGAAATAAATAGATGGAGAATATCGAAACAACTTACGCTTCGCTGATGATATACTTATAATAGCGGAAAATTTAGGTATGGCAAGAGAGATGGTACAGGAACTCGTTGTGGCTGCAGAAAATGTAGGTTTAAATATAAATATCTCGAAAACAAAAATCATGACCAATTTGGTGCCCAACCAGAACATCAGTATTGGTGGGGAAGAAATAGAACTCGTAGATAGATATAAATACCTGGGACATGAAATTATGATTGGCAGGGATAACCAGACTCATGAACTAAAGAGAAGAATCGGCCTTGGGTGGGCAGCATTTGGAAAACTGAGAGAAACTTTTAAAAGTGAGCTGCCTACATGCCTAAAGAGAAAGGTATTTGATCAGTGCGTCCTTCCAGTCTTGACGTAAGGAGCAGAAACACTTACCTTAAAAGCAGCAGCTACCAAACTGAGAGTCATGCAGAGAAGAATGGAGCAGTTTATGTTAGGAGTAACTCTACGAGACAAAATAACCAACGAAGACATCAGGAGAAGAACCGTAGTGACTGACATCATCGAGAAGATAGCCAGACTAAAATGGAGATGGGCAGGATACATAGCCAGAATTACAGATGGGCGATGGACAAAGAGGTTATTGGAATGGAGGCCAAGGGAAGACAAGAGAAGCGTCGGTCGACCACCTACAAGATAGACTGACGATTTAAGAAGACTCAATAAAAACTGGATAAGAGCGGCGCCAGATATACGGGGTTGGAAACATGAGGTAAAGGCCTATGTTTGGCAGTGGACTCTTGAGGCTGGATGATGATGATGTAAAGAACTAGAGAAATATAAAAATGAAAATCAAAGACAGAAGAATGGAGAAACGTAGTGGAAACAGCAGAAACTGTAAATCCAAACCCATAATGTGATGATTCTCCACACAAAAAGGATCTTCAAGTGAAAACAGCTTCAGCTTCTTCGGGAGCGTATAGCTCGTATATATACACACTCCAGCCAGGTCTGTATTAAGATGTTACGGAAGAGGTAACTAAAAAAATTTCAGAATGCTTCAAATACCTAGCCAAAAATGTCTACCACCTCTCGGACCAGGAAATATTTTAAGTGTAAGTAAATGCAACAGAAATAAAAACAACATAGTTTAATTTCATTTATTTTAAATAAATAATAATTATCTAATAAAACTTTCTGTAATAAATTACCGACTTTTTATTTTTTCGTAAAATTATCTACTTAGCTCTGCTTGTATTTCTTCAAACGATCTGTCTTTTGTATCTGGTAATAAAAAGAATAAAACGAAGAAATTGATTAACCCTAATGCGAAATATAGAAACATAGCAAAATATTCACCAATATTTGCAAATAAAAATGGAAAAGTAGCTCGTATTGTAAAAATAAAGAAACTTTCTCCTAACATACTTGTTGCATAACCTAATGATCTCAGATCATTGGTAAAAAGTTCGTTGCATAGAGAAATCGGAACGAATCCATATCCTATACCGTAACCTGTTCGAAATAATACAGCTAATAAAATTGGTAACCAACCTAAATTCTTAATAAGTGGAGATTGTACTTTTATCAAATAAAAAATTATACTACTAAACAACATACATAAACTGCAAAACAGACTAGAAACTAGCATTAACTTTCTAGCACCAAATCTATTATAAAGAAAACCTACGATAAGATAAATCATCAGTTGCGTGCTTCCGATAATAATTTGAATCGTGGATGTTGATAAAGCAGAGTTTGCATAATTAAATACTAGACCTGAAAATGTTGTTATTGTGGAAAGACCACATGTTTGTTGTCCAACACAAATCAGCAATGATAAAAAGAAAGCTTTCCTTGATGCTTTAGTTTTAAACATATCGCATAAACTTGGTTGATTCTTATTATTTTTAGTAACTTCTGCAGTGTTTTTCATCCGAGTATATTCTGCCATAATCTCTTCATTTGTCTTGGTACACCTTAACAATTTCAATGTTGTAAGTGCTTCGGCGTATTTTCCTTTTGAAGCTAAAAACACCGGCGATTCAACTATAACTAACGGTTCTAGAATTAAATGAATTACGGCTGGTATAGCGATTAATAAAGTATTCACTTTAAAACTAGTATAAGCACCTACAAGGTATGCAATAAAACCTCCAATAGGCATCCCCATGCCCAAAATCGATCCTATTTTGCTTCTATTCGAAATTTCTGAAATTTCGATACTATAAACGGAAACGCTAATATAAATTCCACTTAGATTAACCCCTAAAATTACTAACGGTATAATGCAAACATTTACACATTTAGCATGTGCTATTATGGTCAGCATGATAATTAAGCTCAAAGCTGAGTAACGCATTGTTCTTTTGCGTCCTATCCAATTTGACACTTTAGCCATCATAATAAATCCAAGTCCAGTACCGACAAATGGACCAGCTGCTATTATAGACACTTCCATAGTTGTTATTGGTTTTCCAAATGGGTTGATATTTTTATCATTCGATAGTAGTTTGGGCAATACTGGTGTTGCCCACGCTAAACAACTTCCCAATGTAATCAACAGGAGGTTTGCTAAAAAATTAAATTATTTTAAGACCCAGTTACAGCGAAAGCGCATCGTATATTTGAATTTTTGAGTATGGATGAGTCAATTTTTTTTTGTCGATTGAACCACTTGGCGTAAAATAACAGAAAGACACATATTCAAAACAAAGAAATGTTACAATATTAACTACATACTAACATAAAAAAAGTTACTCATGTTACAAACTAGATTTCATTTAAATATCTTTTATGTTGATAGGCATTAAAAACTTTGAGATGTTTAGATTTTTATTGTCTCTATGCAGCTCGTATGTTGTTTCAAAGGCAAAATTACAATATTATTAATATTTAAATATAAAACAAGCCAGGTATTCCTTAATATACCCATTTATAGACAAATGTGACTTTATCTGTTTTGCCGCAAACGCATTTGTAATATATTTTTTTTTTGTCCTAGACCAGAATAATGGTGTTTCGAAAAAAAAAAGAACTCAAAAAATGAATTGCCGAACTCTAAGAATAAAGAGAAGCGAAGGCACTAAAATTACAGAATGAGAGAAAGAAATCTTAAGAATCATCCGAGTATAAAAAGAAGATGTCCAGGAAGAGAGAAAGGAGAAAAATATGGCACGGAAGAAGAAAAAATAAAAATGATAAAGAACTTTAACTGGTCAAATAAAAATGTTTTTGGTTAAGGGCAAATAAATGTAGAAGACAGAAACAGAACTTATACCAAAAATCAAAATTCACGTAGGTCTAAAACTTGAGTATATACATTACCGGATGAAAGTGGTTTCGGCCAAGTGGTATTTAAGAATTTTTTTAAAGACACAGCTTCCATTACAGATAAACATGTGACACCTCCTCAAGATGAAAGTGGCAAAAATCCGACCCATAATATTGAAGACGAGCAGTATTTATGTTGTTTCAATTTTCATTGAACTGTTTTTAGCATACAAAATGATAATGTGATAGAGTTTAAGTATCTTCTTCTAACGACGCTACAACTCTTTGTGAGTTTTGGCCTGCTTTGTCGTTTGTCATCCCCTTTGTACATAGGAAGTTTAATTCATACTTTTCCATCTTCTGGGATAACTTCTAGTGTCCATATGCGGTCGATTAGTTTATGCATACGCCTCCATAGTGCATGTCCAGCATTCTTTATCAGTTCTGCAGTTATTCTACTTCCACCTTTTCATTTTTTTCTCTTTCTCGCTGATAATTTCTTCATTTTTATCCTTGCAAACTGTTGATTTTGTTATGTATCCTTGGGTGTATTACTTGGTTTCCTTGTAAAATTTTCTAGCATCTCTTCTGTTATTATAATCTGTAATTTGTTGTATTTTTCTATTCATTATTATTTTTTTCCTTCTACATATTTTCTGTGCATCTTTTCTGGGTTCTTCATATGCCCTTCTATTTAATCGCGAATCCCTTTGTAGACATTTCTGTCTGGCTATATTTTTGCTATTTATTACTTGTTGGCAATCTTGGTCAAACGATTCCTAGTTTCTTTTGCTCGAGATTTCACCTAATATTTCCTTTGCTATATTTGTAATTGTCGTTTGGATGACATTCCATTCTTCTTCAATGTTGTTTTGTTCTCCTCTTTCATTTAATATTACTTTTATTTTTTTTTAGGATTTTTAAACATATATGTGTTCCATTTTCTTTTTTTGGCGCCTTTCTCTTTTCTCACCATTGATATTGTTTGTTTTATCTTCGATATAAATAAGAAATGGTCCGAATCGCAATTTGCGCCTCTATAAGTTCTAACATCCGTTACGGAGGTTGCCCATCGCTTAGATATGTGATTAATTTAAATAAATTTATTAGTACCAGTTATCATCTAGGTTCCTTTATGAATATTTTTATGAAGGTACATAAACTCGTACTAAAAACTCTTAGTTTGTTTGCCATGGCCAACTGTGCCATTCTTATATCGTTGTTGCTGGTAATATCATGTATACTATGCTTACCAAATGATTCTTCATATTATATTACTCTTTTCCAAGCTTAGCCAGGACTATAACTGCATCTCTTTACTGTGCGTTGTTACATTCTACTTGTAGTCGGTCATAGAATTGATCGGTTACTAGTTCATCTGCTGCTTCTGTTGAGACATGCATATTAATAATTGTCATATTATGAAATTTTCTCCTTAGACGTATTTTGCATATTCTTTCATTAACTGGAATGAAACCCAATACTGACCTGCGGCATTAATGGTTTACTGTAAAACCCACTCCAAAATGTCCTTGTCTTTCTGCTCCATAGTAGTATATACAGTATTCATTTTTATTTATGCAACCATGCTTTTTAAATCTGATTTCTTAAGGGCTGCTGTGTCTACTTCGTACTTCAATAGTTCTTGTGCAATACTTTGCATTTTGCCTATCTGCAGCATGGTTTGAACATTTAAGGTTCCCAGTCACAAATCCATCATTAAGTCCTTATTCCGTAGCTTTGGCCGTTGTCTTGTATTGCACCCGAGTCCAGTGCCAGTGTTGCTGGCTATAGCTTCTGAACAAGCTATGCGTTCTCCCTTTCTCATCCGCCCTGACTCTACCTTCCAATGGGTTGGTTACCCAATCTCCATTAGGGTTGCATAGGTTTACCGGGGTTTACCCGTGTGATTAAGACCACAGTTCTTGGAGGTGAGGATAGGAATTGAGTAGGAGAGGCTAGAGGTGTTATCTGGAAGCAACACCTGGTATTGCGCCTCACTACTCCTTTGAACCCCAGTTTAAATTTCTAGGCATCACATTATCTAGCTTCGAAAAACTTGAAACTGACGTGGAAGATCAAGCGAATAGAGCAAATAGAGCCGCAGGCTGCGTTAATGAAACACTATGAAGGAATGAAAATATCGGGAAAGAAACGAAAGGTAGAATTTACAAAGTCGTCATCAGACCAATAATGACATACGCGGCAGAAACAAGACCTAACACAGGGAGAACAAAAAGATGTTAGGGACAGCAGAGATGAAAACACTCACAGTAAAATTGATGGTAAGATACTATGTGACAGACTAGACGTACATATATACGACGTAGATGCAAGGTGGAAAACATCAAGAACTGGATAAGAAATAGAAGAGTAGAATGAAACAATCATTTAAGCCGAATGACAATAAATAGAGTAGTAAAGACGGCAATAGACGGTTCCTAAGTAGGAAGACGATCAGTAGAAAGACCACGAAACCGATGGAACGGTAACACAACGGAGGCAGATTGAAAAATAAAACGCAGAGATGAGGTCTTTTATTTGAATATGTCTGAATTTGACTTAATTGACCATAATAATATTTTTTTTATTCTGTTTTAATAAATTATTTAATAGTTTAGTATTACAAAATGATTTGGTTTAATTTATTTTCCTATTGTCCATCCTTTTCTTAAAGGCAACTGCTTGAAAAATACTTTAAAGCCACTTATTATAATTAATGATAAAACGCCCTGAGATTAAACTTTAATTAAAATTAATTTATTTCTTGTTTGCAAAATTAAGCATAAGGCATATTTAATTAATTAAACGTATAAAAGGTCCAAATGTGCAAATAATAATAATCATAATATATATAAATAATGATATATACCTGTGCAACAACATATATATACACAATAAAGCGAACGCTTTTTCACATTGTCGAGAAAATTCGTATTCAGTTGGTGATATGTCCAAGTTTTCAAATTGTTATCGTCCATCTGCATCTATATTGAACACTTCTTTCAAAATTGTTTGTGGTACACTTCAGAGTAATGACCGAAAGTTGTAGAAACACTTATTACAATAATACACTTATTACAATATATTTATAAATTATAAATAAAAAAAATAATCACACTATTTTATTACAAACAGATTCTATTTAGCATAAGTTTAATAGTTTTAAAGATAGATAGTGCTAGTTTATTAAAATAATTTATACAGAGTATTCACCGCCGATAGTATATTTCTATAGGTCTTTTACCTTTAGAAAATATTTCAGTAGTCTTATAGAATAAAAGAGGAGAGTATTAGACATCGTAGGATGTCTAATACCCCAAGAAATACCCGCAGACTAGAAATTAGGCATACTATGTCCACTATATTAAAAGAGAGACATGATAGTGTGCGATAATTATGGAGGCATCACCCTACTAGATATAGCCTATAAATTGCTGCTCAACGTATTGTACAAAAGAATGATTCCCTCGAACCAATATTGAGAGCACATGAGTGCGACTTCCTACCCAATAAATTAACCATGGACCAAATTTTTACAGCGACTCAGATTCATGAAAAAACCTTAGAGTTCGGCGTCGACACCCACATCTTTGTCGAGTTCAAAGGTATATTCAACTCAACTAATAGGAATAAAAGTCTCCTAGTTATGGTGGAATTCCAAATACCGCTTCATGTTATTCAACCAACTGAGCTTATACTCACAGAAGCAGAAAGCTTGGTCAGAATCCAGAACAAACTTTCAAGACTCTTTCAGTGCAAAAATGATCTAATACATGATAGCAGGCTATCGCGTCTTTTATTTAACCTTGCTTTAAAGAAAAAGGTAATTTGGGAGTCCCAGATTAACACAAACTTTATCTTTAACAAATCTGTACAAGTTGCCGAATATGCAGATGACATAGCCGTCATAGCTAGATTCACAGAGTATGTATATTTCGGATAGTAAGTGTATCTGCACAGAAAATGAGACTAAATACAAGATGCCAAAAAGAACATATATATGTGTTGTACGAGGTAAAGCAAGCAGATACCTTGAAGAATAATAAAGACGATTTAAAACTGGAAGTCATGGACACTTTCATATACTTAGGCTCACTGTTGTCCAAAGATAAGATCAGCGAAGAAATTGAAAGAGGAATAGTCCTTGCCAATAAGTTTCACTATGGCTTAAGAAGTAGGATAGCCTTAAACTACCCAGAAAAATTAGATTGACCGTCTATAAAATACTTCTTGTTAAAGTCTCATTTCCTCAATAAAGGCATTAAATTAAAGTACTACAATTGCAAACTCTTCTGTCTTGAGCTGTTCTTAGTAGGTATTCAATATTTACCCCTCGTTATTGTCGGATGTTTTTCAGCCACGATAGTCTTTTCCTTTCTAGTCTTCTGTTTTCAGATCTGATTCATCAATAGGTATGAATGAGGTTTTGTAACTTTCATTGTGTTGAAAAGTTTTCGGTCCCTGCCTATTCTCTGTAGCACCCCTTTGTTTGAGGTATGCGATGTCTATGTAGATCTATATTTCAAATAACTTTAGTGTATTTGTGATTGATGTATTAAGGGTCTACATTTTAACTGCATAGAGAAGATTTGACTAGACGTATACCTTGAAAAACGTAGTCAAAGTTTCTAGTTTTACTCGAGGATCACGTAGCAGTTTTTTTATTTTTTTGAAAAATTTTGTAACACGTTCTATTCTCGATCTTTTTACTAAATCAGGATTTAGGCTGCTATTATTCCAATATCTGAGGTACTTGAACTTTAACAAGGACTGAATGACAGATCACAGACTAAAACTGCCAGCAGAGAAGACAGACGCCATCATTCGAAAGGGTAAACCGAAAAGACAAGGGATAGAACTCCGATATGCAGGGGTATAGGGGACGCACAAAGAAATGCGTCAAACATCTGGGTGTGACGCTATCTTATAGCCAGCCTCATTACTCCTAACCTTACGTACTTGCAAGTATCGTCTGACGATCTGCTATTCAAATTAATGATTTTTCCAATTTCAGCTAACAAAATCATAAAAAATAATCTAAAAAGTTTTAATTTTACGATCTATCAATATCCATAGAAACAAAAAAACTGTAGAGCTGTTTAAGAATTTATTATCATATAAACATAAACTTTTAATACAAAAAAATAAATAATAAAATAAATTGTGACAACTTTTTTCACCATTTTTTTCTGTTTTTTTAATTTTACTTTTAAAAATAAAAAATCTACAATGTGAGGAAATAGGTAAGTAATATACCGGCCAAAAAAACCAGTTTTTCCAAAAACCGGTTTTTAGTATTTGTAAACATTTACAATGTTTCAAACTTGTTACAAACAATGTTACAAACCTTCAGTTACATTTACAATGCACTTTAGTTAGCGATACTTCATTCGACTCGATATCAGTATGATCAAAATTTGAGTTATGGTTTTGTTTGGAATAATTACTAACGTAATCCTAATCACCGTAATGACCTAATATCCGGTTTAAAAATAAAAAAATAAAATACCGGTTATAACCGGGACAAAAAAAAACAACTGATGAAACCGGTTATTGCGAAGTAAAAAAACGGTTTTCGGTTAAAACCGGTAGGTTTTTCCCATCCCTAATATGTAAAGAACTTTATAACTGTATAAATATAAGTGTTTTTTTTTAAACTTGCATGCATATAAAATAAAATTTCAACTGTCTTTTAACCAAAAGGTTGCGGTGTTATTATGTTTTATTTGTGTAGGTGCGGAGGAAGAACGATCAGTAAAAAAGGCGACAAACTTGTATTTGCATCCTATTCCCTGGCAATTCTTCTAGTTTCCACCTTGCCAAATAATCTAATTTTTATTCATGACTTATTTACTTAGCTCTATTTGTATTTCTTGAAAAGATTTATTTTTAGTATCTGGTAATAAAAAGAAAAAAACAAAAAAGTTAAATAAACCTGCTATAAAATAAACAAACATAGCAAAATATTCCCCAACATTTATAGATAAAAATGGATAGCTGAATCGTACTATAAATGTAACTATACTTTCCCCTAACATACTAGTTGCAAAACCTAAAGATCTTAGGTCAGTGGTAAAAAGTTCGTTACATAAAGATATCGGGATAAATCCGTATCCTACACCGTACCCCAATATAAATAAAACAGTTAATAGAATAGGTAGCCAACCTAAATTCTCTGTAAGCGAAGATTGTATTTTTATCAAATAAAACAGCATACTACTAAGCAACATGCAGAAACTGCAGAACGAGCTAGAAAACAATATTAACTTTCTAGCACCAAATCTATTATACAGATACCCTACAACAAAATAAACCATCAATTGTGTGCCTCCGATAATAATACCAATTGTATCAGTAGATACAGCAGAATTTGCGTAATTGAATATCAAACCAGAAAATGTCAGTAATGTGGCAATACCACATGTTTGTTGACCAACACAAAGCAGTAAAGATAAGAACAGAGCTTTTCTAGATGCTCTGCTTTTAAACATATCTAAGAAACTTGGTTGGTTTCTGGAATCTTGAACAATATTTTTTATCTGAGCATACTCTATCGTAATCTCTTCATTTCTTTTGGTATTTCTCAGTAGTTTTAGTGCACTCAGTGCTTCATCATCTTTTCCTTTTGAAGCTAAATAAATCGGAGATTCGACAATGACAAAAGGTTCTAGTATTAAATGAATTACAGCTGGTATAGCAATTATTAAAGTATAAAGTTTTATACTAGTATAAGCTCCTATAATATACGTAATAAAAATTCCGGTGGGTGTTGCCATACCCAGAATCGATCCTATTTTGGTTCTATTTGAAATTTCCGAAATTTCAATATTGTATACAGAAACACTGATGTAAATCCCGCTTAGATTAAAACCTACAATTATTAATGGTATAATATAAACATAGACAGATCTTGCAAAAGCTAGCACGAATAGCATGCAAACTAAACTCAAACCCGAATAACGCATAGTCCTTTTACGTCCTACCCAATTTGATACTTTAGCCATTATAATAAATCCAACTCCAGTGCCTACAAACTGACATGCTGCTATTATTGATATTTCCATAGTACTTATGGGTTTTCCAAAAGGGTTAATATTTGTATCATTCGAGAGTAGTTTCGGCAATACTGGTGCTACCCACGATAAACAGCTTCCCAAGGTGATTAATAGCAGGTTCGCTAAAAAATTTATTTATATTAACCCCAATTTATATTGCCCAAATTAGGATTAAAAAAAACATTTTTTACATGTATTGATTTAATAAGATAACTTAAGCATATTTTTTTTTTAATTTTTCTGCTACAAGGACTCTTTTCCCAGAGATAGGACTTAGAAGTCTCGTCAGGAATTAGTATAGGAGATTCTGTCAGAAGATAGCGATTTCTGTTGCTATAAAAAAAATGCTAAAAATCAAAACTTTTATTATTTTTTATAAATGATTATTCTTCAGGAAGTCGGAAGGCCGTGGTATATCGCAAAATAGTTTTAATTTGAATTACAACACAAATAGGCACCACAAAATGAACACTTTGATTGAGGTCTAGGCTCTATTGCAAGTATGCTGCAATATTCACATCTTCCCCTATTGGTGGTAAAAACAGGCAAGTGTTTTACGAAATTTCCCAATCTGACGTCATTCAGCGCGCTATAATTATACTTCCTCCTTTTGTTAGGTGTAGATGACTCCAAACTTCGGGAGCCTAGCTTCTTTGCTTCACTTCTTCTTCTTCATTTACCATGTCCTTTCAGAACGTTGGTTACCATCATAGCTATTTTAATTTTATTCACTGCCATCCTAAATAGCATGCTTGTATCTACACCATACCAATCTCGCAAGTTCTTCAACCATGAGGTTCTTCTTCGTCCTGGACTGCGTTTGCCTGTTATTTTTCCTTGCATGATATTTTGTAGCAATCTATATTTGGGACCTCTCATTACATGTCCGAAATATTCCAGCTTTCTCTGCTTGATGCTTTTTAGGATCTCAGTAGTCTTGCTGAGACGTTCTAGTAATGTGGAGTTACGAATCTTCTCCACCCAGGAAACTTTTAAAATTCTTCTATAGCACCACATTTCGAAAGCCTCAGGGCGATTTAGATCGATTTATTCAAAGTCCAGGACTCGACAGCATAAAGTAAGACCGAGAACATACGGCAGCGAAGTAGGCGGATCCTTAATGCCAATTTTAGGTCTCTGTTACATAACACCTTGGACATCCTTCTAAAAGCAGCTCTAGCCTGCTCTATTCTGGATCTAATTTCGCCGTGATTTTCTGCATTACAATTTAATTGCTGTCCAAGGTAGACGATTTTATCAACTTGCTCAAGTTTGGTATTATTTACATATATAGACGGTTTTATATTCTGTTGTTTACTTATTACGAGTATTTGCTTCACTGGCGTATGTTAAAAGTCCCATAGCAACCGATATTCTAGCCTCCAGCTGGCTGTTTTTTTCGAATAATTCATTGCATATAATATATGAATTGACAAAGGTAATGTACAACATGCCCCAGAATAAACGGTGCCACCATTTATGTGATTTTCTATCCCCACAGTATGAACTACGTAGTTGGTCGGCAAGATCAACGCCGGCCCATATTTTTGTTGTAGTCTTCCACATCGCTGAGGAATGGTAAGTATAAACTCGAACCATCTCTTTGTTTTCTGGAAACATGTTTTACTTCTGAACCATGAATGTTAGTTGCAATGTTAACTGTTTTATTATCCATCCACATAAATTAACCAATGTTGGTATTAGAAGAGCTATAATCAAAATCTCCGCATTGCGATTCTTTTACTTTTAAACTTCGAGGCAAATCCTTCCTGTTCTTACGAATTGTACCACATGATAATGTATTTTTTAGTTTAAGCCTTTCGAGTAAATTTGCGCTCGTATAGAAATTATCAAAATAAATAATTCTTTCTTGATTCTAGTACATCTTGGTTAATGATAGGAATACTCTTTCTTATAAACCATGGTTCTCGAATTCGATCTGCAAGTTTCCGTTTTTGCCTTGATATAAGTCAAACTGTAACATAAAACCACTTTGGTCTGCAATAGACCATAATTTGTAGCCAGTTTTGATGTGCTTTTTCAAATTATATTGTTTCAAGCTACTTTGTCCTTTAAAAATGATCATATTTTCATCCACACTAAGTTTTCTTGTGCCTGATAACATGTAGTAAATTGTCTCTTCAGAGTATTTATCATCGGTCGAATTAAGTGCTTTATTTTTATTGTTGTTGGAAATTTGCTGAATATCGTTGACATGTAGAGTGCAGATTTGCCAATATCATCTCAAAACGATTCCTTGACATGGTTTTCGAAACAAGAGGCACAAGTAAGTCTTGTGAAGTATTCCGGTACATTTTCCAAGGGAAGTTGATGCTACTCCATTAGAAATTTCAGCCCGATAAAGGCCAGTAATTCACCTTCATTTATATTTAGTATCTTGTTATTCTGCATTTTTATTCTGCATTAAGATTTTTAATAATGCGTAGGTCTTTATCATCAATACATACCTGCTGAAGGATGGCTATCACCTATATCAGTATGTTTTACTCGATCAAAGGCCTTCTCAAAGTCAATAAAATACATATAAACTGGATGTTTGACAGCTGTGCATCTTTGTACCATAACCTGAATACTATATACTGCTTCTCTTGTTCCAAGGTTATTGCGGAATCCAAACTGTGTGTCACTAAGTTGTTGTTCTATTTTTTGGTACATCCTAGAGTGCAAAATTCGTAGAAATATCTTTAAAACATGACTCATTAAGCTAATGATTCGGTAGTCACTACATCTTTTTGCATTTGCTTTTTTAGGTATCGTCAAAAAAGTAGACAGCCGCCAATCCGTTGGTATATAGCTAGTTTCATAAATTTTATTAAACAGATGAAGGAGAGACATTTTACCTAAACTTTCGAAGAACTTTATTATTTTAGTCGGTATTTCATCTGGTTCCGTCGCTTTTCGGGTCTTTGCTAATCGTATTGCTTGTTCAGTTTCGTCCATAGTTATGTCACGTCCTGTAACCTTACACTTCGTTAATTTCAAGCTCGGGCCTTTCATCACTAAACAGTTCCTCAATATACTCTTTTTATCTGTCTATTTTATGCAAATTATTGATAATCATTTTTCCGTCTCTATCAACGATGTTATTTGCCTGTTATGTGTTAGAAAGTACCCGGAATTTTATATTTTTCCTAATTTTAATAGATTTCCTTTCCTTGTGAGTTATTGTCGCAAGTAAAAAAACAAGAAAAGTGGTATAGAAGGTGTGTCCGAAACGTTAAAAAATAGTGCAATTTGACTGAACTAGGAAAAAGTGCAGTGTATGAGACAATAAAGAGGACAAAAAATGGCATAGATTTGAGACATAGACCAGTTTCGGGTAGACCGCGTAAGATTTGCGGAAACAATTTAAATGCTTTAGTGACTTTAGACGACAAAATCCGCGCCTAGGGTTTCGAAAATTAGCAAACAGATTTGGAAATCAACGAAGAATAAAAATGGGCCTAGATACTGTCCGCGTGTTACTCAAAAAGAAAGGCTACATATCAAGGAATCCAAAAAAAGTCCCTAAAATGACACCTCTGCAAAGGCAACGAAGAATAGATTTTTGACAATGTTTTCGAAAAGATAATTTTATTATTGTCGTTATATCTGATGAAAGTTGTTTTCAGGTTAGTGCAAATCATCTAAAAGTCCTATCCAGACAAAATATTACCGTTCAAATTTCCTACTAAAATAATAATCCACAAGGAATCTAAGTGCCTGTAGTTGACTGTATAGCATGTATTACAAAAAAATTATTAAAAATCCTTTATAAAATGTATACAGTGCGTTAAGTTTTTGATTAGGTATTGCACATTATACGGAGCGCTAAAATCGGCAACGTTGCAAATGTTCGTTCTCCGACCCGAGACTATCTGCACCGACAGAAAATCATTTTAGTTTAGTAACTCACAACAACGTTTGGGATGTACTTCTCTGTCGTCCGATCTCATGTTTTATTACGTATAGCCGATTTTAATAGTAGGAAATTCGATAAAAATGCACTGACCTAATCGGTGCATTGTTATCGATTTTTATTAATGTGAAAATTTTTTTGTGGTTGAATTAAAAATAAAAGCGTATTTCTTTAAAAAGATAAAATAAAAAATATACTCTTATTGAAAATTAAAATATTATTCCTAATAAAATAAAAAATAATTCTTTATGACCCACAGAAATGGTTCAAATAGTTGACCTTCTACGGCTGAACAGTACCCCAATCTATCATAAAAACTTCTGCGAACAGATGAAAGAGTTTCTGCTGTAACAGAATTGGAGACTTCTCTTATTAGATTTTTTAATTCATCCAAATTTAAGGCTATAGCCTCAGGATGAGCGTAGATAATGCTTTTTAAATGTCCTCAAAAATGTCTATGGGTGTAAGATCTGGAGATCGCGCAGGCCACTTAATATCGCCTGTTCCACTGATAACTCGATTCGGGAAAGTATTGTTTAAATACTCCCTAATAATTCGAGCGTTGTGAACTGAACAGCCGTCTTGATGAAACCAAACATTCTCCAGATTTACATCAGGAAGATTGAGAATAGCGGGAAGAACATGATTCTGTAACAAATCGAGGTATACTCTACTATTCAAATTGCCCTCAATAAAAAATGGACCTATTGTGTGGTCTCCTAAAATGCCAGTCCAGACGTTAACTTTTTGAGGACGTTGAGTTCGGTAAACAACACTTCCAATACCTCGTAATGGAAGGATTGTGTCTCCCTACTAACGAAACAGAAGATTCATCAGTGAATAAAATGTTTTTAATAAAATTTGGTTCACTATTAGCCTTCGTTATTAGAGTTTCACAAAACTCCATTCTTCGAAAGTAATCGTCTGGATAAAGCTGCTGCGTTTTCGAATATTTAAAATTCTTGTAACCGTGCTTTTTCCATACTTTCGTTACAGTAACATTGCTAACATCTAACTTTCTATCAACGCTTCTACTTGAACGTGTTGAATCTACCTCGATTGTTGCACAAACTTGTGTATCCCGGTATTCTCTTTCCTCAACTTTTTTTGGTAACACTTCTGGAGTGTGACATTTTCTGCATAAATAAATAAATCTACACATTGTTGCGCAGAATTGCCACTATAAAACCATTATATTATTTG